TAATAACATTATTTTCCTTTTGTTTTTCTCTTATAATCTTTTTCTATGGCGATCAATTTATTTTTTTTTATTTAATTGTTTTTGTTTTTTTTTTTTTACAATAAATAACAGTGAATGAAGGCGTTCATTTTCTGATGCAATTTTAAATGTCGTTAGAAAATAATGCTTGTATAACTTGGGGGGCACATAAATAAATGAATATTTTTATTAATTTCAAAGAATTTATCTTTTTAAATCGTTAAATTAATTTTAGAAATATCTTTGAAAAACAACAAATGATTATGTATATATAAATTAGAAAAGAATAAGAATTATCCCATTATGAAAAGTAAAATAATTTTAAAGAAATTAAAAATTATTATGATTGATTGAGTTCATAAATTGTTTTAAATAAAAGGGGTTGATCAAGAAAATTACTTAAATAATTTATTAAATTTTTTTATTAATAATTTTTAAATGTTTTAGTAAAATTTCAATTAAAGTTAAAGTAAACGCTGATTATTTAGGGAAATTATTCTTTTGGTGGATACAAATGCAATTCAGTAGTAATTAGCAGTACAAATATGTATGTAATTTTGAACATAATTTGACCGCAGAATTGTGTATTTTTTTGTCTCCAATATTTTTAATTGAAAATTAACAATATTTGCAATATTAGTAATATTTTCCAAAAGTTAGGTGTCTTTTTAATAATTTAATTCGAATGCTATTTTACTTGTAAAGTAATAATTTAATGAAAAATTCGCATTATTAGTGATTTTTTCATCTTATTTTGTTTGAATTTGGTTCCAAATTAGTTCAATTGAAGTATGTGATTATATTATCAGACAAGAAAGTATTTTTTGTTATTTATTCTCTAATAGACCTTCAGTGAAATTTGCAGTCTCGAGGAACGGTGACAAAAAATTAGTATTTTTGAAATATTTAAGAAAAGCTGCTTTGAGGCGACAATTTCGTTTATATTTTTAAATTCTGCGTTTAATTTTAATTACGTTTCCCGAATTAAAAAATTGTTTATACGGTCCCAGATATTTTGAATAGTGACTAAACACACGCAATGAGTTAGTGAAACACATTTCGCCTAAAATTTTTTGGAACTGTATTAAAAACCTAAGCATTTTTAATTAAAATAATTATTTTACATAATTTAGTTTTATATTCTAGGAGTATATGATGGTAAATTTCACATATAAAAAAATTATCTATAAGTATTATATTAATATAATATGGCAGTATATTGAGGTTTTCTAAATTTAAATCACTATTATAGCTTATTTCTAAATTTTTTTTATTAATAGTGATAAACTGGGTGTAGTTTTATAAAATTCATTACATATTCATAACATTTCGTTAATTATATTATGTAAATTCATTCATTTAATTATAATACAATAATTAATTATTCTTTATATGAATTAAACTTATAATTAAAATTAACAAAATAATTAGATTAGAACTACTCCAAGTTAAAAATCAAAATTAGACGATGATAATATTTGGATCTTCAATAATCTACTAACCTACGTAATTTAGGAATAACATATATAGAAATTTTCAGTTTATATAATGGCATTATGAATTTGCTTAGCGAAACACTTAAATAGACCTCGCACATTCTATTAAATCTTTATTGAATTTCTTTTGTCAAAATGCTTAAATTTTCGTATTAACAATTCAGTGAATAGCACATATTCAATTTTTTATAGTCCATATTCATTTTAAATTTAATTTTTTATAATTTTTTTATAATTATTTTTCAAATTAATGTGAATTTTATCGTATAAAGTTCTTTAAATAAATATTAAATTTAAATATTTCATGGTATTTAAAAGTTAATTTAAAGATCTACCTATTAGAGTAAAAGAAACCTGATGTGAGCGTAATCCCCTCAACTTTTATAAAAATGTTTATTCCAAATACTTAGGTAAATGAAAAAAAAAACACCTTTTTTATCAGGAATTTTTTTGTTATTATTTTTAAGCGCGTGTTACACAAATCAAATATAAAAGTATTTACAGTTGAATTTCGAATAGAAGCACTTGAAACTTCATTAGGGAAGATTAAATTTTGAGTTAGACAAGTGATTGCAGAGCAAGTCATTGTAGTCGTAGAAAGTTATTACAAGGTCGCATTGTAGTAATCGCCTCATCTTTGTTATAGAAAAAACTATTCAACTTATTCTTCACAATCGTTTCAAATTCTGGTTATTATCATTAGAAATACTGTAATTATAATTACAGCAATTCTACAGTAACAGAATTAATCCGAAATCTCTCATCGGCGCCTCACTTTATGGACCGCAACAGCTCATTTAAATGTGGAATTTCTCGATTTTTTATCGATAAATTCGGTAATTATTCCTTCCCATGCTTTAGTAAAAATATTTTAATCATCAATGATCAAATGGGGCTTCTTTTCTATTACAAATATTAACTTATCTATTTTATTTTTATCTGTTTAGCGCATAAATTTACATTTGTGTATAAATGTATCCGAAAGATTTCTTATTAGTGTACAGCAAAAAACCTTAGTGAAATACTTTTAAATCTAGAAGAAAAAATCTCAGTCTCTTGAATTTACTCTATTAATCCGGGTTCAACTGTTTATATACTTGAAGTTCTATACATTTTTACACACATGTGTAATAAATACTCAACGTTTAAAATAAACCAATCGAAATTTCATTGAAGCTTTTTAAATATCCTGAAGAAGTGTAAAATTGTCGTATTCATTTCAAGTACACATATGTATACATAATGGTGTTTCCACATGTGTGTAGGTTTGGGTAAAAAAAAAATACCGTTTAATGCCACTTTTTGAAATTCTTTATTTTTATTTTTAACTTATATTTAATGTAACAAAATAATATGTATGTATGTATGCAAGCCTGTTCTTTCATTCACCTCTGTATATGAAATATAGAATATAGCTAAACTGAACGTATGTATACGATAAGGATAAATGAAAAAGAAATTAAATTGCCTTTTTGTTTTTTAGAAAAATTATTTAAAAGAAAAATTTCTTTGAATTTTATAAATGTTTAATTTTCTGATTTATTTTATTCTATCATTAATTTTTCCTTTAAATAATAAAAAATTACGCGTAAAAAATTCCAAAGGATTTATTGATTTTATTTAGAAAACTTTTATATATTAGTTTGCGTGTAGGTTTTTGTAATCGATTAATATTTTTTCTTATACATTTATAATATTTTCACGTTTAGATTTTTTGATTTTATTGAACTACAATTCTATTTTCGTGTATGTAAGTACACAAATATCTTTTTTTTTTTTTTATAAATATTTAAATAGTAAATTACATATAAATACAACGTATATAATAAATATCTACGTATTAGTTTGCTATTAAAGTCATCGGTATTTTATTGTATCCGAAGCTACACGCGGTAAACCTAGAAGTTTCTTTGTTTTTTTGTTTTTTTTTAGAATGAAAAGTTATAATGAGAAAGTACATTAAGAATTGAATTATTTATTTAAAAAAAAAAATCTTTTTTTATTTTGTCCTACATAGAATAATTTGTTTTAGGTTCTTTTCAAAATTGAATTATTGCTAAAAACAAAGAACATGAAATGTGACATGGAATATTTCTAGTGATTGATGTTATACATACATACATATCTAAAACTTTTACGGTGACACAATTTGTTATCCTTATAAATTGTAATTACGGAAATTATGGAATTTTTATTTAATTAAAAAAATGCATAACATATTTTATATTTGTAATTTCGTTTTTAATGTAAAATGTTTTGCCATAATTGGCTCATGTGATGTAATGGAAAATTATTATTTATTTATAATTCAGACTCAATGGTCACTCTTATCTATTAATATATGTGCTTATATAATTTTATTGCAAATTAAATTTTTTATCTTTTTTTATATTTGATCTAATAATTGAATTGCTTAAATGAAAACTATTAATAACAAATTAAATTAATAATTACAAATATGATAATCTATGACTTTATGGAATGGAATTGTAAATACTTTCTATACTGCAATGTGAAAATACTGCTTTTTAAAACAATCTGGGTACTAAATTATTAAAATTACTTTCATTCATATACGAATATATTTTAAAGTTGCATACATTTAGGATGAGACAAAAAAAAAAAAAAATTTTTTTTTTAAACAGGCGTTAACATAATGTTCGAATTTAAGGGTTAATTGAAGTTAAGGGTTAATAAGTGATTGAATTATATTTTTTTATGGCATTACCGTTAGCTTTTTGCATTTATAGAAATTTGGAATAGCCATTTTGCTTTTTTCAAATATGATATGTCGCGGTAGAAGAAGCCGGCCACTACTTTGCTGTTTTGCAAAATTTGAGAAATGCTTATGATTTCGCTGTAATAAATTTTGCCAGCCATGTTTTCCGATTTGAATGCCATAAGCACTTAATTATTCATTTAATTTACTTATTTTTTATTATTTCACAAAATTTAAATTTAAATATAATTTTCGTAAATCACAAAATATACACATACGTATATTTTCACAGACCTTAAAAATTGAAAATAAAATAAGGTGAATTTTTCAAATGAGAACTTGTTACATTTTGAATTTTGAACGTTTCCAATGCTTATATTACATCCCTATTTGTGCCTTATTGGTTTTTAGTTTTATTCAGAATTGAGAGTATGTCAATAATATTTTGCTTCAAATATAAGCTTTTAATGGAAATAGTACAAATAAAAAATTATTAATTAAGAAAGAAATTAAAAAAACAAAATGCGTCGACTTCTTTCAGACGAACTTTAATATAGTTAAGAAACAGCTAAGAATTAAGAATTTTGTGAATATGCATATATATATTCAAAAATTTACCCAAAACAGCTCTCGCTAGATCTTAAAGTTCAACTTCCAGTCCCCAATTTTTTTATTGTTTGTATTATAAAATAAATTTTTTCAAAATTTTAATTTATTCTTAATAAATAAAAAACTGATATATTTTAATAAATTTGTATTTTTTTCAGGTATGTGGTCCTTAAATATGTGTATTTTAATAAATTCGAAAAAACAATAACATACCGTAAGTTTCAAAATGTTTATTTACCTTATAAATTCAAAATTTGAAAACTGTTGTACTCTAAAAACAACTGATTAAAAAAAAAAGTTTTTACTGTTATGCTACTTTTGGGATATTGAAATTACAAGCAAATCATATAAGCGTTTTTATTACATTAAAAGCGTATACGGAGTTGAGATCAGTTTATTGTTTCGCAAATATAACATTTTTCTGCATGGGAACTCTTATATACATTAACTAACCTGTACACAATTCTGCTGTGCAGAACAAAAACTAGCCTGTAAATTTAAATATCAGGTATTTGACATTTATTTTTTGGTATTTAATTACCCCATTTTAACTGCTATTCCTTAGGTTGGTATATTAGGGGGAAAAAGAGCACAACCAATAAGAAACATGCCATGTAATCGATAACCATATTTGCTTTTAAAATTATGTGCCCGATTTTAATATGAAAAATTCATAATTTTACAGTAATTATTTTAACATATACAGTTATAAAAGTACTGCCAATGCTAAAATATAAAAACGTTAAATTGTTTGTCAATACTCTGCTTTTTTTTGTAATATTCGCATTTTTTTTTTCAACTTTACCACCATAGTTGTCCATTTTTTTAAAATTTTTTTTGCTAACAATTACAAATTTTTGTTATTTTTTTTTAAATAAATAATTAACATAAATATTAAATAAAATTACTTTTCTAGTTAAGGTCAAAAATTTAAAAGTGTATAAACAAAACAAGAAAAAACAAAACAAATTGGCATTAACTTTCAACAAAATGGTTTAGTCACTTTAGGTGAAAGTAACCAAACATATTTGAAAAAAAAATCAATATTCTCTACTGAATTCACAAGTATGCATAAACTTATTCTTTAATACTATTGTGAAAATTAGTAATTAGGTTTTTATGCATATTTAAAACGTTAATGCCATTAGAAAGTAATAAATGTTTTATTAGTAAATAATAGTAATGACAATAAAATGGTAAAATATAAATAAATTTTATAGTTATGACTTTTTTTTCTTTCTATAATAATGACATTTAATTAATAACATATAAACATATTTTAGATTTTGTTTTTGTAGTTACTGGCTGTTGTTTGTAGCAGTGTCTATAGAGTATAATTTTGATCATTATTAACAAAATTTTTCGTTTATGATTTTTTTGTATAATTAATACTTATTTTTTATGAAAATTAATTTTTTATTTATATGTAGTATTTATTGTAGAATATTATAATGAAATCAAAAGAAGTAAACAAAATATACATATACATAAGAAAGTATATGTATGGCTGCCAACTGAAAATATTTAAAAATAAATTGTGTAACACGCAACAGAACTGGAAGTAACTAACTTTTTTTTTAAAAGTTCCTTCTTTGCGGGTTCCATCATTCGTGTTTTTCTCTATTAAGCTCGAAAAAAATATCACGTTTAGAGAATTGCATTATTTTGCATATGGAGTGTATAAATTGAAGTTAACAAGGAGGGAAACTGACCACTATACTACCGAGGATATACCGAAGTTGACTTATTTTTACTGGTTGACCAATACTATAATTGCCTGCAAACCGAATTCTGTCATTTGCCTTAATTATTGTTATGACAAACTAGAATATGGGACTTAAATTTTTCCTTCTCAACATTTTAATAGATTGTACCAGCGTTTTATAAATTTTAAAAAAGACATTTGAAATATAAAAGAGTTTCTGTTCAATGTTTCAAAGGTAATGTGGTTTAAATTTTTTTTAACTTGAACGCTATGTTCATTGAAAATAAATTAAATAAAAATTTTATTACTTTTACTTTATTTTCTCTCATATTTATGAAATTATCAATACTTATATATATTTACATGTGTATAAGTGTAAAGAGAAAATGAAATTGAAATTTTTAATTAAAATCCAAAAAAAAAAAATGTTATCATTGTTATTCTTACAGTTTTTCCAATATAATACATAGTTTCACATTAAACAAAACTTTTAAAAATCTTTCACACTAATAATTATTAGCTTTCTTCACTCTATGACCTACCTAAATGTGTATGTGTGTACTTGTGAAAAATAGAATTCTAATGTCCCTAAGACCGTGGCTTATATTGCGTTCATTATTCAAATTTGTTGATTATTTGCAATTATAATATGTTGTGCAAAAGAACAAAAAAAGAAGAAAAACTAAAAAAAGTTCTTGATAATACAGAATAAAGATTTTACATTCTCTTTGTCGAATTATGCATATGATTTCACAAGAATTTTGTATTTTATTTGGATTTTAATCGAATAACTCTGCGAAAAGGTATTTATAGGATTTGAGACTGCTTTCTAATGCACAGTCATATAAAGCTTAATGTATGTACCAGAAAAATAAGTTGTCGGTTTAAGAGTCGATTTTTACTCTCAATAATAATTTTACTGAAAATTATGTCAGCCAAACAATCGGTTTCTACTCTAGTTTTGCTATCCTTTGTTATTATATTATGAACAAAATTCTTAAATAGACGTATTCTTTATTTTTCAGATTCTTTATTTTGATCTTCATAATCGTAACAAATATTTCCCCTTTCAATTTATTTACTTTAAGATTCTTCTGTTAATTTTATCCATTTCTGTTATCCGTTATTAAAGTGGGAGAAAAAAGAGAAAAAGTTTGCCAACAAAAGCAATAAATTAAAAAAATAGAGACAAATATACTCAATTAAATGAAAATGAATGAAACAAATATTTTTATCTGTTATACAATACATAAATTTTGAATCTACAAATAATAATAATATTGAGTTGTTTTTGTATAACAATATTTATAAATAGTATTGTATAATGTATAATCTAGTAAGAAAAAACTATAAACTTTTACAACATTGTTTATAAACATAATATACATATATATATGTATTTTGATTTCAAGTACAAAAATTCGTTGTGTTTTCATTACAATAATTGTGACGTTTTATATAAAAAATGAAAATTAATTTGTTTATAAACAAGTGAAAGGAAAAATATGTTGCTAAACAATTCATAAACAAAAAAGAGGGGAAAATATAAATATGTATAATGAATTTAAAGCGTTATATTATTTAAACGAGTTTTTCATTTTTATTCTTTATTTTACTTTACTCCAATATAAAAGTAGAAAATTCATTACAAAAGAATAACAATAAAAACAACTCTACAAGAAAAATATATATTACGGTTATTATACTCAATGTAAAGTACATATATTTATTTTACCATTATGCTATTGTTGCTTGTAATTATTATAGGTTGTATATGTTTTCAGTTTTTCAAAAGAGAATTTTATTTAATCTGTTTTTGATTTTTTGCTTGTTTTTACAAACCAAACCATATGGAAAAAAAGAAAAATTTCTCAATTTAAATTTTAGTCGCTGATAGACAGCCGACGAAGATAGTTGGTTGTTAACGGTATTTTAAAAATTATTTTACTCGAATATAAAAGCTTTTCTTTCACAATCTTTTATGTTTGAGAAACTTGGATATTATTCGTATTTAAAATTATACATATGTATATGTATGTATAAATACCTATGAAAACAAATATTTGTTAATACATAGAATTTTTTGTTAACACGTATTTTTCAATATCAACGTTTTTGTGTTGACATTCGGGAATTACAAAAAAAAAAAAAGAATAAAATCATTAAAAAACATTATAACCTTTTTATTGTCTCAAATGTACATACGTGTGTGTACCATTTAAAACGTTTACGGTTTTAATAGCGGTTTTAATACATATTGAAATTTATAAGGCGGGATATCGGTCGTCGTTATTGTGTTACCAAAGAGAAAAATAAAACAAGCTGTTACAAAATAATTTTTAATAGTGAATTCAAATTTTTTTTATACTAAAAATACAAGTTTTTCAAATGTTTTTTTTTTTTGTGATTTAATTCTAAACAAGAAATGAAATTAAATAGGCAAGTTTTATAATAAAATAGGTTATATTTAAAAGGGTTAAGAAATAATAACTTGCATTTATATGTATTTATATATATATGTCGATATTAGTTTTTCTTATATACATACATATATAAATAATATGTTTAAAAAAAAATTGTTGTAATACAGTTATGGTGAAATATGATATTTTGTATTTGGCTTAAATCAGTGAATAATTTATTTAATTAAAATTCTTAATATATGGATAAAAAATAAAAATTTTAAATTAAGGAAAAAATATCTTATATCTTTGGGAAATATATTACGAGAAAAAACTAAAATAAAAATAAGGAGTTATTAACCATATGTTTCGTGAGTGAAATGATTTTTTAAAATAAAAAAAAAATTGATATAACATATTGTAATGTTTAAATTTTCATTTGATTATGATACCACCATCACCGATAATAAAATCTCAACCACAGCAGCAACAACAACAACAATCATCACAAACAAATATTCAAGAAGCAAAAAGCATTACGATAATATCGAAAAACTTACAACGTTCAAATTCTTTAACAATTCCAAACAATACAAACGTAATTGCGGATACAAATCGTCTTTTGATGTCAAATTTAAATAGTCAAAATAATAATAATAATAATATAAATATAATTCACAATAATAATATCAAATTAAACAATTCAATAAATATTATTTCAAATAATGATTCAAAAATTGGCACAACAAATAATTTAAATGATAGTATAAGTAGTGATAAAAGAAGTGCCGAAAAATTATGCAGTATCAATAGTAAAGGTTTATCTAATAATTCTATTGGAATAAATCAATCGCAGAAATCACAGCAGCATTCACAGCAACCACAAAATTTTAATAAAAAATTACAGCAATTACAACAGTATCATCAACAGAGAATATCTAATGTAAATTATATGAATAATTTAATGACATCTAATTGTGGTCGTAATCCACACCAACATCAACCCCATCATCATCTTCAGAATCATCATCAGTATCAGCAGCAGCAGCAACAACAGCAACATAATTTTCATCAGTCGCATCATTTAAATAATCCAACAAATTTTCAAAATGGGCAACCGAATTTTATACCACCTCCAACGATTAATCTGTTTCCACCTCAAATTACAAATCAATCAAATTTTTTAAATTATGCACAACGTGTTTCTTATCAACAACAACCACAAAGTCAGCAACAGCAACAACAAAATATTTTGTCATCACCTTTATCAAATCAACATTTTCATCATCAAAACCAACCACCACCACTGCAACCACCGTCATCACATCCTCATAATCATATTAATTCTAGTACGGTTTCAAATTCAGCTAATGGGTGGGCAGGGATTCCTTTAATCTCAAATAGTTCCGCTATAAGACGACCAAGAAAAATTTCAACAAATTCTTATAACACTAATAATAACAGTGCGCCAACTGCAGTTTCAAATAAAAATGTTTTAAATGGTATTAGTTCACAACAAAATTCAGGTCATCAAATACAAAAAAATAATCAACATAAATTTTTGATTACAAATTCTACTTCTGAATATGATGAAAATGCAATGTCAAAGCTTGCAATACACGCACATGGCGTGCCACTAATTTTGGCTGGCCGTTATAAACATTCACGAAATAATTATAGTAAGAATAACGCAAATAGTCGAAATACACCCAGTAGTAACAACAATACGCGTTCTGATACTACTATCAAAAATGATAATGAAAATCATAATTGCAATTTAAGCGAAGTTGATAAAGCTAACAAAAAAAGGGATGATAAAAATTATAAAAATGATAAAAATCAGGTTGAGTTGATTAAAAATGATTCTGTTGAATGTGTACAAAAATTAAGTATTAGTAATGTAGAAAATTCTAGTTATAATGATTGTAATGAAAAAATTTCTTCATCTTCGTCACTGTCCTCTTCTTCGTCTGATTCGGTATCAGTAAACAGCGATGAGTGTAATACACAATCGAATTCAAATAATACTAAAAATAATAATTTACAGGATACTTGTTTACCGAGGATTATTAAGCCACGGAAACGTCGTAAGAAAGATCGTAAAATGCCTGGAAATGTTTATGTTTCAAATGACCAAACATCATCTTCATTACCATCATCATCTTCTGTGAATAATGGTAGTCAAACAAATGTAAACAATAATGGAAATCTTTATAATGATTCGTCTAAAAATATAGAAAATAAACATTTGAAATCATTTAGTATAACTCGAACACCATCAGTCAAAACGGAAATAATAAACAAAAATTATAAATTAATAAATCAATGTAATCAAACTATGAAAATTCCAAATAGTACACCAAAACAGTATATGAGTCAGTTTATGAATTATAATTATTTGAATAAAAATATTGATTTCAATTCGAATTTAGCTTTAAATTCACATCTTCAATCTGGCAACTCAGAACAATATCATCAGCAATCAAATTTTAATTCAATACATTTATTTAAACCATCATTTGATTTTGAATTCTTTAAAAATATTGAAGTGAAAAGTGCAATTCACCCGTATAATTTTAATAATTCTTCAATTAGCAATAACAATAATTATAATAATAATAATAATGGTGAATTAAAAAATAATACAAGTACAAGCATACTGAAATATAATGAAAGTGATTTTAAGTCAACTTCTTCAACATCATCAATAACTTCATCCTCTGTATCATCGTTATCATCATCGTCACAAGGAATCGGAAATGGTACAACGCCATCCACTACACTTTGTTTTTGCCGACAATGTGATCCTTCTTGTCGTATATGGGCATTCCCATTGCGGAGATCATGTTCTGATAATTCAGCTGATATTCAACGTACCAAAAATGTTGGTGTGATTGGTTCAGGTTCAACAAGAAATAATTCAGCTAACAGATCATCATGGAATTCGTCAGCAATGAAATTAAATAATAATAATGATAATATATGTAACAATAATAATAATTCAATATGTATAAATTTATTTAATATGAAAGATATTGATTTAAATACGTCACAACTATTTGATGTAATACAAGATAAATCTAATTGTAATAGTAACTATAATAATAATGATAATTTCAACAATAACAATATTAATAGTGATAATAAAATTATGTCAACATCTTTATCAACTGCATCATCTTCACGTAATGGTAGTTTTAGTGATTCAATTGATTCATCAAATGAAGATTCATTATCAGGATGTCAGAGTCATGATTCTATTATATTAAATGGTATTAGTTTTATTGAAGATTTATTTAATAATAATTCACAAAATTATCAGAATCAAAATTTAATAAACAACTTATTGAATAATTCGAATGAAATAGAAAATAGTTTAAACAATAAAAGTGAAATTAATATAAACCTTATTGATAAATTAAATGATAAAAATAATAATAATTATATTAGAAATAATAATAATAATGATAACAATGATTTTCCAACAGCTGAATCACTATTAACAGAGAGTATTAATGAAATATCAAAAAAATTAATGGAACAATGTGATTTGAAATCAAATTTGAATAACTGTTTTAAGGATATTAATAGTAATTTTTCAAATAATTCTATTATAATAAATAACACATTAGGATCTGATAATGTTTTTATGAATGATACACCAACAATATTAAATGGAAATGATATTATAATTTCAAATAATAATATAAAATCTTCTAGTGATACAATTTATAATAACACAAATATTAATAATTTCAATAATTTTAATAATGTTCCATTATTTGATATGAAAAATTTTTATGAAACTTTAAAAATAAATCAAAATAGTAATAATAATGACAACAATGTAGAAAATTTAATGATATGTAAGAATGATAATAAAAATAATGATATAAATATAAAAAATAGTAAAGAAAATTTAAATGAAACAATATTATCATCAATATTAAATGAAAATATATTAGCAAATTTCTTATTTAGTGACACCACAACAACATTATCAAATAATCAAATTAATAATATTTTTAATAATAGTAATAATATTACCTTATTAGATAATTTAGATTGTAATAATGACAGTAATAATAATGATAACAACATAAAAAGTAATAATGATAATAATAGTGATATATTTAATTGTTTTGATCTATTATGGAATGATTCAAATAAATTTCATTTTACCAATTTAAATTCAATACATGATAATTCATCAACCATAATGAAATAAATGGAAATTACAGTGGAATCAAGTGAATGCAAAATTATGAAAATTAAAAAAAAAATAACAATTTTTTTATACGTTAAATACAGTTATTAGATATAGAATAATTATTATTAGTGAAATAATTATTATTAGTAATAAATTAATTAATCAAAATTAAAATTTATAACATCTTTAATAGAAAAGTTAAATGATATGAAACAACGTTATTTCAGATTCATAATAATTTAATCGATGAAAATAATAATTTATAAATTATATTAAAAAATATAAAAAAATAATGAATTATAGAATATAAGATTAATCTTAAATATTAATTAATAGTTTTTTATATAATATATTCCAAAGCATCTTTAACATCAAGTTATTGTTCCTATATACGTGAATTTCAATTAAGAAAATTTTTACATTTTCGACATGCTTTTGCGAAAACTTTAATTTTAAATTAAATTTAAGCAGATATTTACACTAAAATTATAACAATATAATTGAGAAATTGATTTAATTAATTGCATCAAATTATTTTTTTTTTCGCCTTTGTTGAAATTATTTTACTATTACGAAAAAGAATATAAAAGATTTGAAATTATTTTGTGTATGTTAAAATGCTAAAAATTTTCAAGCAAAGAAAAAAGTGTTGAAATTCCAAAAAAATAATTAAACAAAAATTTAATAAAATAAAAAAATTAATTAATTCTCATTTAATTGTAAAGTTGTAATTATAATTATTATTATTTTAATTTAATAATATGAGAATTTTTTACACAAAATCTTCAAATATTCACTATAATTTATTGAAAATAAAATTTGCATTTAATTTTATAAAAGTTAAAAATAAAATAGAAATGAAAGTGATATGCGGCAACCCTTTATGATTACTAATTATATTTAATTATTGTTATAAGGAAAAAAAAGCATTAAAAAAAAATTATGAATTTTAAAGGAAATTGAAAAAAAAATATAACATTTAAAAATATGATTAAATAATTATTAGAATAACAAACAAAAAATACAACATATATAATTTAATTATTAAAAATAAATAAAATTAATAAATAATTGTGATAAATTACTTATTAAAATGAAAAAAAAAAATGAAAATTCACAACTTAAAGTTTAAATTTCAAAAATTGCTCTGGCATTTGAAAAATTTTCATTAAAAATTATAATAGTGAAAAAATCTATTTTTTACTTGTAAATATGTAAATGTTTTATGTGTGTGTGAATAATAATAAATAAAATATAAAACCTAAATGTGTGTAGATTTGAGATGTAACAAAAAATATATATATAAAATTAAAATATTATGCTTAAAATTATAAAAATAAATTCCATTAAATGTAAAATTTGTTGACCAAGTAAAAATAAAAGAAAAAAATAAAAGATGCGCAATAGATAATTGAAAAACGAAAGTGTAACAAAATGAAAAAAGGCCTCCACAACACCAAACCACCCAGCATAAGTTGAAGAAATAAGAAATTACTAATAATAATAAACAAAAGGAAAAGTGAATTTACTAAAATCATTACAATGTACAAGAAATAAAAAAAAAATGGTGAAGAAAAAAAAATTTTTTAAATTGCCATTGTGGTTGTTATTGTTATTACCATTATCGTTATTATTGTTACACTTTAATAATAAAAGGTAACATAAACTACCTATCCAAGGTAAAGAAAAGAGAAAAAAAGACCCATTTTCGTATTCTTAACTTAATGTTTTTTCTGTGTTATGTTGTTGGTTTGTTGCTTGCTCTGCTGTTTCAAAATAAAAGAATTCTGTTATAAACCATATCACAACATTTTTATGTGTACCATACACACCACATGGATTATATTCTATGACCAATTATGGATTAATATATGGGTGGATATGCAAAATGTATGGATAGCAGCAGTACAGTTCACGCTTTTGGATATAAAAGTATCTACATTTTTTGGATGAAAAAAAAAATACAATAACAATGAAAATAAAATATGAAAATTGGTTACATGAACCTTATACGAGGTTCAAATAATACAAGACACAAAACAAAAAAGGCAAAAATTTAAATTTTATTTATTTTTAATGTATGTGTATATATATATTATATTATTGTATATTGTCGGCTTAAAAGGAAAATTGAATATCTGCAAAAATTTTATTTTTCCGAAATCGCAAATAAATTAAGTAAAAGAGCGTGTTTATTCCTAGCTTGTTTTATACACTAAATCAAAACAGCTAAATTTGCAGATAGTCAACTTTCTTTTTTACATAAAAATATTATGTTTTTTTTTTCTTCTATTTTACATTTATATTAAAAACATATATATTAGATATATTTTGTACATTAAGGTGCAACTTTTAGTTCATGTTTCTTTTAATGAAATCAAAAAAAAAAAAAAATAAAATTTATATTATTATAGGTACTGTTGTACTTGTACATATTATAAGAAAATATTTATGCAATAATGTAAAATGCTAATAGGAATTACTTTTTTAAGAAATTTAAATTATACAGACAAAAAATAAATTTAATGTAGAAAAATTAAAATTTAATTTCATAAACATTCTTTGTTTTTTCAAAAAGTTGTCTAACTCTTATATTATTGTTAAAATTAATTTGGGTAATAGGGGAAAAATTTTGGGTATAAAGTGAAGGACTATAAAAATTAAGCCAAGAATTCATAGGTTTGTTAACTGAATTTAGTTTGTAATGTCGACTTTGGTAAAACACCGAAAATAATTCGAATGCGTGTAACTTGTATATTTACTTTTTGAGCCTTTGATTACATTTTTTGTGTTTATATTGTGATTTCGTGATGAACAATCCACACATTTATAACTACAATTGTAACAGTGAATTCGCACTGTGAGTTTTTTGTAGCTGCATAATTGTAATGTTGTGACAGTGTTATTAACTTTTGATTTTGTTTTTCGCTTGTTCTAATATCAAAAAAAAATCCGATTGCTCAAATCCTAAGACGTTTTTCTAAATTGTGCTTATGATGATTGATTGTCTGCAAAAATATTGAAATTTTTTAATAATCTTATCTAATCTAACATTAAAATTGAAAATATTTTAAAAAGTTTGTCATTTTGAAATTCAAGTATTTATGGCTTAAATTCAAATACAAATTTTTTTAAAAAACATTTTTCTAAAATTCATTTTGCTAGGGTATCTAATGATTTTCCACTGTTCTTGCAATCTCAAATTTTCTTCATATTACCATTATCTTTATTTGTTTATCTTAAACGCTTTTATTAAGTCAGTTTAATTTTTTTAATCTACATAAAATGTAAAGTGTAATTTTTTTTAGTCAATGATCAGTGTTTACTTGTATTATAACGATTAACATCACAACGATGGTAACAATTACAATGATGCGAAAATTAAAATTTTTATAAAAATTATTTTGGTATTATATAAAATTTATAAGCATAATATAAGCTTGTACATATATAATATTTAGATATACAAATAGAGAGGTTAATGTTCTTAGTAGGTTTATTTTAAGTGAAATATTAAATTGTATCTATGGAGTTTATATTAATTTTAAATATACAATTACTTTCGCGTTTCTAATTTTTTTTGAATAATTCATAATTGATAATCAGATAATATTAAACCGATTATTTCCTTATACAAACAAATTAAATAATAATTTCTATATGTTTATATAATTTAAAGTGTAAGAATAGAAGTGTTCATTATTGTACATGCAAATTTTTTAATATTATCAGGTAAATTATTAATGCATAATTTTTATTCAACATAAGTTCTTTTTACATAAAAAATTTTTTAATATTCTTTGAAAATTTTTAAAACGTATCCATACTTCTTTAATTAAAAATAAACATTTTTTTTATTAAATATTTTGTATTTAAATCACAAATTCAATTATTCGTAAAATTACAATATTATATGAAGTAATTGACAAATGACAAGTTGTTTATAAAGTGTCTTTTCAATTTTTATATCATTAAATTTCAACTATGTACTTATATGTCAAATAATATGACATGTGTCAAATAGATTACTTTGCACTTTATGCTGTCAACATGTAAAATTTAATATGCATGTGATTTGATAGAAGAATGAAAACAATTTTATTATTATCACAATACTAATTAACTTTGTAATTTAATGAAATATTTTTTTTATATTTGGTATATAATTGCCATATCAAGTATCAACATATTGATATAAATACGGTACAATAATCAAAACAATATGTTTTAACACTTTATTAAATGCAATGCTTATTTTATATTTATTTATGAGTTTCCATGCGTTTTCCTTGGAAACGAAATTTAATTCAAAGTTTATTGGTTTACCCTGTTCGAATCATTTGTGTTAACAATTCCAAATTGAAGTGACATGAAGAAGAAAAAATATTTTCAATAATTATTGTTTTTTGAAATGAAATGAAAATAATACTTTCTTTTATCAAACCATTTGGATAACTATTTAAAATAAGTTTCTTTAATAAAATTTAAGTATTGATTTTAGTTGATGTTTAGCTCAGTTTTTTTCTATTGTTAGATTTGTTTATTGCAAAAATGTAATGAATGCTATTGGTACTATATTATAGAAAATTTGTAAGAACAAAAAATTTCTCTTTTTCTATTTTATTCTAATCCAGAGATTTAAATCGTGTAATCAGATATTGAATAATGGTATATGTATTTGGTAAATGCTATATAATGGCTCCACATCGGGCTCCAATTTAAATATTTATTTATTTACATTTGTTTTTTACAAACTCTCTATCTAAGACACTTTCATCTTTAGTTCCGAAAAAATAAGTATGATTACTGAATTAGTTTAACTTAAAAGCAATTAGAATTAATATTTTAACAACCAGTTTATTAAAAGAATCTTTAAATTTAATTAACCTTTTTTAATTTTATATAAAATAATAGAAACCTTATTTTAATTTTCATAACCATATTTATAACCTGATTCAAATTCATTAAATTTTATTGTTAAAAATATTTTTTTTGAGTAAATAATAAAATATTACTAATTAATATAAAATTTTATAGTGTTTCTAACTAGTGTGTGTAGAAAATTTTAGGGAAACATGCAAGAACTATTCTAAGTTTAATAAATTGTAAGTAAGAAAAATTGAATTAATTTACCAAAAATTCTGCACTTTTAGTTCAAATTTCATTTGTATTTATTAGTTTCTAAAGAATTCAGGGACTTCAAAAGGATATTCCTAATTATTATATTTTATTGAT